AGTTAAGCTACGTTAAGGTAAGCTAAGTTAAGCTAAGCTAAGTTAAGCTACGTTAAGGTAAGCTAAGTTAAGCTAATGTTTCATTCATGTTTCATTTTTTTCTTTCCATTTTTATACTGTTAATGAATGTACAGCACCTTGTGAATATATTTCTGTGAAAGACGATTTATAAATAAAACTTTACTTACTTACTTACTTACTTACTTACTTACTAAGTTAAGTTAAGTTAAGTTAAGTTAAGTTAAGTTAAGTTAAAAAATGTTTAGCCTGTGGCTGTGACTCAGTGTCCAAGCAGAGTGAATCTAAAGGGAACAGAAGACTTTATCTAGGTCAAAAGAACCTATAAAAAAACAATTGTTCAGTTCAGTTAGGAAAGACACAACCTCGGGTTCAGAGATCATGCTCAGGAGAGCGTTACTTCTGGCTACATGATAAACAAAAACAACTTTGCACCTCGTTAAACTCTGCAAGAAGCTTTCAAGAGTGCTTACCTGTTTTTTGTATGTTTCAAGCTGGGCACGGGCAGCATTTGCTTTACGCAACTCCTCCTCCAGACTGACAGTGTTTTGCATGTAGGTCATGTTATTCTCCTCCAGCAGCTTCATCTGCCTCTTCAGGTCACCCAGGTTCTCCAGCTTCTGCTTGTAGGTCTCCACAGAGGCTTCCAACATAACCACCCGGTCTGAACAGTTTCTACAGAAATTCAACACAACATGATCAGGAGATGATTCAAGCTCAAATAAAGCAGGATCTAAACAAAAGCGTTAGTTGATAACTTCATTAGTATTTTGGATGTAAAAGTAAAACGAGCTTCTCAGTCACAATGTTGGGTCTAATTGAGCCCATCTAGATCACCATCAAATTAGTTTATGTTCAAAGTTTCAGTATAAATGTTATGAACACCACCAGTTTACTGGCTCTTTTACTGACAATAACCAAGTTCAAAAATGAAATAAAGAAAACAAGTTGAAAAGCTTTGGACTGATACAAAAATGTATAYGAAAATGTAAAAACACAATCTTAAACACTCCTGTTGTACCTGTTCTCTCTAAATGAATTTTAAAATTTCATGAGCCAGCTTAGCTACCAAAATATACAGGTACGTGTTTTATAAATCTGAATTTTTTTTGGCATACGCCATTTCCGCCTTTTGGCCGTACGTTCACTTTTAGTATGGTTTCCACGCAATCCTTTTATAAATGAGACCCCAGGTCATTATCATTTTCTGAGCGCGGAACCGCAGGTTGTTTTTTAACACGTTGACCTGCTGGACTCAGTCCCAGACTGAGCTGTCTTTTGAATGAGGCTGTTGTTGAACCCGTTTGTCCACCATGTGGAGGCAGTTCACCTGAAACTCCTCAAACTGAAGAAGTCTCTTGGAGGAGAGACAAAATGTTTCATTAAAGAAGAACCTGGCCGTCCAGAGGACTTACTAAACTTTTTTTTAAATTTAAACAAGTGTTCTTTCCTTTTTCTATTTACTCTAATCAGGACTAGGAATTTTACCTTAGACACAAAATGTTTCTGAAACAATGTCGTTTATCTATTATAATGATGTTTGTATTTCTGAGGGGAGTATTACAAAGTTCAACACAGCTACAGGTGCTGGTCATAAAATTAGAATATCATGAAAAAGTAGATTTATTTCAGTAATTC